AAACGGTTGGCGCGGGGCAGTACCAGCAGCTCCAGCACCACCAGCACGAGCAGCACGAGCACCTCAAGCACTAGCAGCTCCATTAGCACCTCCAGCACCAGGAGCACCATGAGCTCCGGCAGCGCCAGCACCTCTAGCACCAGCAGTACCTCCAGCACCTCCAGTGCCAGCAGCTCCAGCAGCACCTCCAGCACCTCCAGCACCAGCAGCACCACCTGCTCCGGCAGCTCCAGCACCTCTAGTACGCGCACCTCCAGGACCAGCAGCTCCAGTACCTCCAGTACCTCCAGCTCCAGCGCCTCCAGCACCGGCAGCACCTCCAGCACCTCCAACACCAGCAGCACCAGCACCTCCAGTGCCAGCAGCTCCAGCACCTCCAGCACCAGCTAGACCTCCAGGACTAGCAGCTCCAGCACCTCCAGCACCAGTAGCACCTCCAGGACTAGTAGCTCCGGCACCTCCAGCACGAGTAGCACCTCCAGCACCTCTAGGACTAGCAGCTCTAGTACCTCCAGCACCAGCAGCACCTCTAGTACCTCCAGCACCAGCAGCACCTCCAGCACCTCGAGCAGCACCTCCAGCACCAGCAACACCTCCAGCACCTCCAGCAGTACCTCCAGCACCTCCAGCACCAGCAGTACCTCCAGGACTAGTAGCTCCAACACCAGCAGGACCGTACCCTCCACCACCTGGACTGCCTCGCCGAACGATCCACGCACGAATCGCCTGCGGCGAGAGCGTCTCAAGTAGATCAGGCTGCGGTGGCTGTCCAGCTCCAGGACCTCTAGCAGGGTCACCCACAGCTCCACCGCCACTAGGACTCGCAGCACCCCCAGAGTCAGCAACCCCAGTCGCAGCACCCCCAGAACCAGCACCCCCAGTCGCGGCACCCGCAGAACCCTCACCCTCTGTCTCAGCACCCCCAGGCTCAGCACCAGCAATCTCAGCTCCAGAGTCCACAGCAGCAGGCTGCGGAGGTGGCGAAGACGGCCGAGGCGGAAAACCATGGGGGGTCTCCAAGCGTGGAGAGCGGCGAGTGGCCGCCGTGTCGTCAGCGGCGGGGTCACCCTCCTCACCTGGGCCAGAGGAGTCAGAAGAGATCTCCAAAGGCTCAACCAAGGGGGGTGGGTCTACCTGAGACACACCTGAGGGAGCAGGACCCTGTGGGGGGAGGGGCCGGAGGGGGGACTGGTACCAGGAAGAGAGGCGCTACGGGGACCGGGTGGGACGCGTGCGGGTGTAGCCTGTAGAAACAGACAGACTCGTCAAAGGTGGCGTCCTGGGAGGAGAAGACTCGACGCGAGCGCGGGTGGTAGAACTGCCACAGCGGGGCGTCGGTGGGGAAGCCAAGGAAGACGCAGCGGAGAGTGCGAGAGGAGAGCTTGCTCGCTTTGGCATCGCGAACAAGGGAGAGCGCACCCCAGACCCGAAACACCGACTCATTGCCAACCTTCCCCGTCCACCGGAGTGTGGGCGAGGTCTCTGGCTCAGAGACACGGAGCCAGAGGTTGAGCTGATGCGCAGCGTATCGGACCGCAAACGGCCACAGAAAATGGGGAGCAGCCGCATGGATCATGGAGGTACGAGCAACCTCCATGATCAAGCCAATGCGATGCTCAGCAATCCCATTCTGCTGAGGAGAGGCCGGAAGCGTGAATGTCTAGCGGATGCCCTCGTCTTGACAGAACTCCTCAAGGAGGCCAGAAGAGAACTCACCGCCCCGGTTAGAGTGCAGACGCAGGACTGGCAAGTCCCGACGAAACCGCTCGCGCAGCTGGCGACGAGTAGCACGGATCCAGGGGATCAAAACACCGATGACGTCCGCCTTGCGTCGCAAGGGGTGTAGCGTGTGTAGTCGTCAACAACCAGCAGAAAGTAGCGCTCCTGGTCCGTTCCACCGACGAGGGCCGGGCCCCAAACGTCCATGTGAAGAGTCTGCAGAGGAGCAGTGGTCGGAGGAAACTCGGAGGAGTGAGGAGTGGCTTGCTGCCGCCCCTCAACGCAGGGAAGGCACGGCGGTGCAAGCGAGTGCGGGAGGGAGGGCAGGGACCTGGGAAGGCCAAAGACAAGGAGATGGGAGTGCATGCTGCGGAGACGCGGCAGCGAAGGGTGACCTAGGCGGTGGTGCCAGAGGAGAGTCTGGTGAGAGAGTACCCGACACGAGCAAGACGCTGCAAGCTGACCAGACGCAGACACCCGACTCGACGCAGCCACCTGACCTGACTCAGCCACTGGTGCAGATGCAGTGGTCAGTGTGTACAGGCCGGACCCAGGCTGACGAGTGAACGTAGCAAGGTGACGGCCAGTCCGTGAGCACTTACAGATCGCCACACGCTGTTCTCCAAGAATGAAGGTGTCAACCCATTCATCCTGGAGAACTGTGTTGCTCAACAAGTTCGTCGAGAACGCGGGGAGGTGGAGACCTGAGAGAGACCCGGAGGGGACTGCCAGACACAGGAGGATAGTGGAGGCTCGCGCAACTACTGGGCCCCTAGTGGGGTCAGCCAGTGAGACTGGGACAGGTGCAGCGAGTGGTGTGACTGTGGTGCAATCACGAAAGAAGCAACGTGACGCGCCTGAGTCAAGTGTGAAAGTGTGCAAGGCCTCAGCTGAGGCAGGACCTGTGGCAGTAGACGCACTAGCACCTAGAGCGTCGGCAGACTCACGAGCACCTAGAGCTGAAGCAGACTCACTAGCACCTGGAGCAGCAGCCTCTACACAACCAGGGACGTATCGCTGAGAAGCACAGTCGCTAGGCCGCTGCAGGGAGAAGGTGCTCTGCGGACGCTGCTGCCGCCGCTGTGTAGTACCCACATAACCAAAGCCACCACCACCAGGACTGCCTCGCTGAATAACCCACCCACGAAGCTGCTGAGGGGTGGGGTCGTCCGGGAGAGGCAGTGACCGCTGCTGTCCACCCCTAGCTGCTGCAACTACCGTGATAGTGGCCATGACAGGCAGTGATGGTCAGTAGCAGGTCCAGCACCTCCAGCACCAGCAGCACCTCCAGCACTCCCAGCAGCACCTCCAGCACCAGCAGCACCTCCAGCACCAGCAGCACCTCCAGCACTCCTAGCAGCACCTCCACCAGCAGCAGCAGTAGCATGGTTTGCAGCAGCAGCAGTAGTAGAAGCAGGGCAGGTCGGTGGGGCTGGTGAATGAGGCAGGGCGGCGCGGCTCGGGTTGGGCAGGGCGGCTCGGGCTGGGCGGCGCGGCTCGGCCTGGGCGGCGCGGCTCGGCAGGGCTGGGCGGCGCGGCTGGGCAAGGCAGGGCGCGCCGCGGGCTGCAGGGCAGGGCGCGCCGCGGGCAGAGCAGCAGGGCGCGAAGCGCGGGCTGCAGCTGGGCGCGACGCGCGGGGCAGCAGGGCATGACGCGCGGGCTGCAGTAGGGCGCGATGCGCGGGGCATTAGGGTGCAACGCGCGGGGCAGCAGGGCGTGACGCACGGGCTGCAGTAGGGCGCGACGCGCGGGCTGCAGGGCACGACACGCGGGCTGCAGCAGGGCGCGACGCGCAGGACAGTGGGACACACATTGGGCAGGGCAGCAGGGCGCGACGCGCTGGGCTGCAGGGCAGGGCGGTGCGCGGGCCTAAGGGCAGGGCAGCGTGGCTCGCGAGCTGCAGGGCAGGGCGGCGCGCGGGCCTAAGGGCAGGGCATCGCGATGCACGGGCTGCAGGGCAGCTGGGCGCGGGCTGCAGGGCAGGGCGGCGCGCGCTGGGCAGGGCAGCAGGGCGCGACTCGCAGGCCGCAGCAGGGCACGACGAGCGGGGGCAGACAATGCGAGTAGCTGCAGGGCAGCGCGACATTGTGCGAGCAGGGCCGGACAGCGCAAGGGCGCTTCGGGCAGGAACTAGCGAAACTATCGGTGGGCCCTAAAAACCTAACAGGTTTCCTGCTCTGAATACATGTCTGAATCAACTGTGCAGGAATGAATGGACTATGAATGAGTTGGGTACAAGTACTAACCCTAAAGTGTTGTACCCCTTGTAGGCTAACCCACTATAGCATAGAGAGAACAAAAACATTTAGTTTGACATTTGTGATCCACCCTGAGCTTTGTCTTGTTGCTTCTCTTGACTGGTCTTGTGACCGCTTGATGTTCTTGCTATTCCCCACTTTGCCTATGGGGGTGTGTCAAAACATAACATATGCTTGTTGTAAACTGTAGCGGGGCACCCTCTAAGGGGTAGACCCTTTTAGGGTTAGGCATATGTACCAAACTTCTCTCAATGCAATTCATTCCTGCTGTTTCATTTATGACATGCCTCTCACTCACCGTCTTTGAAGTGGAACAACATAAGACAGCGTCCATACAACTCTGTCTTGTGACCATTTGTGTTCCTTGCTCCTTCTTGTCCCCCACTTAGCCTATGGAGGCATGTCAAAACTACTTACCATATGCTTGCTAGTCAATAGTGGGGCACACAGTAAGGGGTATAACAATTTTAGGGTTTGTTCTTGTGTCTCCCATAGTCAATTCATTCGGCTGTTTAGGGTTGAGAGCCTGGTTTGAGGCAAGTCTGATCAGAGGCTGATCAGAGGCTGCAGGAACACACACTTACACCAGCAAGTGATTAGACCTGGTGAGTAGAATGTCAAGACATAAAATTGGGATACCCTGCTGTCCTCTACACGGAATCTTCCGTGTAAATTGCTTGCAACTTGCAACAAGCTCCGCAACGCAGCCATTGATCTATCGAACCACCCAAGAAACGCCACACACCCTGACAACTCCTACCTAATGTCATTCCCTTCCTCCTCACAGACACATGTGTCCTAGAAAACCATAGGAGAACGTATGTGCTAAGGCAGTGGTAGGTGCGTCTTTTGAGCATCTCCTATTCCGACAGCATGTTTCTAACATCTCGTGCACAGCAGCAGTTGCGGCTCCTCCCCTCTCTTGCTCCCACCTTGCAACTCCCATCCTCTTACGTCGGTCCATCTGTCAATCACGTGTCAAGTTGCACATCTGCCCTTCAACGTCCCCTTCTCTCCCCGCTGCTACTTCCCCCCGTGGGTCATGTTGGCCATCTGGCCGCGCACAGCCCCCTGGGGGAACGCGGAGGTGGCGATGAGAGCGTGGAAGGAGGCGGGGGCAGCGAGAATGGTGCTCACAGCCGCAGCCACAGAGCCGCCCGCAGCGGCGGAGAGGGACGACGCGTTGCCCCACACGCCCCTGGCGCCGTAGCTGAAGCGCGCAGCCGCAGGGGGGGCAGCAGCGGTGGCGTTGGAGGCGCGATGGAAGGGGCGGGTGGTGTTGGTCCAGGCGGAGGCGGGGAAGGCGAGCAGCAGCAGGGCAGAGGCGGAGGCGGCGGGGCCTGCGTGGATGGAGGCGGCGGTGGGAGGGGAGGGGGAGGAGAGGTGCGCGAGGGAGAGCGAGTAGTGCACGTCCATGTCCGTGGCCGTCCTGGGATGGGGGGGAGAGGAAGGGGGTGAGGTGAGAGGGTCAACACAGGAGGGTCAACACAGGAGGGTCAACACAGTAGGGTCAACACAGTAGGGTCAACGCAGTAGGGTCAACGCAGTAGGGTCAACGCAGTAGGGTCAACGCAGTAGGGTCAACGCAGTAGGGTCAACGCAGTAGGGTCAACGCAGTAGGGTCAACACTGGAGGGGTGAGACGGTGTGTAAGTAGCAGAGGAACGAGTTGCATTGCACGTACAGAGGAAAGAGGGCTCAGATGCAAGTGCAGGGAGGGGTGGAGACTCAGGTGGTGGCAGAGAATAGGAGAGAAAGAGCGGCACTGACTTGACAAGCCTCAGCTCCAGGCGGCCCGTGGCATTGGCCATGCCTGCTGACCCCACCATCTGCTCGCCACTCATCCGCGCGCCCACCACACCTGCCATGGGAAAGCAAGCAAGGCGTCAAGTCCACCGGCTTGCCACACACTGCAGCAATGACTGAACATAAAAGGTGCATGTGGCGGTCACAAGCAGCCAATAAGACGTCAGCAGCATGTGGTGGTGCATTGACGCAACCGCACTCACCAATCACGCTGCCTCCTCGCCCGCCACGCCCACCAACAGCACCGCCGCCCTCCTTGCGCAGCCCAGCACCACCAGCAGCACCACCCCGCTGCGGCCTCGTGCCATTCACGTGCCTCGTGCCATTCACAACGTGCCCCTTCCCTCCCGTCCCACGAGTTCCGTTCGCTGCCGCATGACCATCAACTGATCTCTGCTGCTTCACGTCCATCGTTTCTTGCTGCCTCTGCCGCTTGCTGCCAGCCGTCTGCCCTGCCGGCTGCTGCGAGCGGGCTGGCTTCTTTCCAGACGTCGATCCGCTCGCACCTGAGCTGCTCGCCCGCTTGCTGCTACTAGCAGCCTTGTCCCTCGCCTCGCCTGCCGCCGGCTGCGAGCGGGTCTTGCTGGCGGCTTCCGCGAGGACTGGAGGGAAGGGAGGCGGCGAGGGAGGATGAAGGAACAAGACGGGCATGAGCTCGGGTCGGAATCGAATTAAATCGTAGAAAGGATACTCGTAACTCGTACTCGAACAACCAAGTTGACAATTTCACAAAGGGCTCGCGAGGATTCGCAGATTCATCGGAACGGGCCTCCTGATGTGACGACTGAACGAACGCCATGACGAGACGAGTGAACGCGACTCACTGGCCGTGGCGACGAGCGCAAGCAGCGCGAGAAGCAGGAAGCGCCGCGTGGAAGCCATGATGCCTCCTTGCGTGAAGTCGATAAACGCGAAAGCTGGACGGTGAGAGCGGAGCACAGCGAGAAACTGATCGGGGAGCGAATCTGGGATCGTCGACGTCTCAGATGCTGATTCTAACCGAAGTCGTAATGTAGACAGAGCGTCGAAGCACGGTACCCAGGGGGAGCAGTAAGAATTTTCACTGACCAGTTCAAGCGATTGATGAGCGGATCCATCACGACTTCGCTTTTATAGAAGGTTCAATCTGGAAGAACGTGATTTGGCGACGAATCGCCTAGCCAGCGATCAATTTCGAGACATTCCGTGTCGCGAATGTCAAATTCAGAACGGAACGGAAGCCACCGACAGATCGGGAGCATAATTCACTAGCGACCGGCCTGGATGATCAAGGGTTAGATCACAGATAACACCCAACACAGCTAACTCCCCCTGGAAATTTATGGCGGGAAGGGAGAATTTGTCGATGAGAGAAAAAGAGCTGTGCTGGATGAGGGAATTTAGGTTGACCAGTCTAAGCAGGTGTGTCTTGGGGAGCACGCACTCCGTACAGGAAGGGTTCGTTATAACGAGAGAAATTATGTCGAAAGCGGATTCGTTCACGTGCTGTGAAATCAGAAACTCATAACAATAACTAGGCCTCTAGAAACTATTTTAAGTAATCTAGTGCACATCTTCTGAATACTGAAATGTAAACTCCTCTTAAATGTAGTTCAATATTGTTGGTGACTGTGATGTGTCGGTGTAAGGAATTTTCCGACATTCCTTACTGCGCACCTCAACAATGCGTACCAGACCGACCGTTTCTTCGCCCGTTACTGCTCACGTTGTTCGCCACATTCGCGCGTCACTTTTGCCAAACCTCGCACTGCAGGACTTGGCCGAGTCGGCCCACGCTTCGGGACTAGCCCGAACCTCGTTGCCAACACTACCAGCTAGTTCGGACGCACCCCGTTACCGATATCTCGTTCGCGATAATGTTCTCTCAATTCGTTCGCTCACACTGTACTCATTTGACTCACTAGAGAAATCTTCACTCGCTCGTTCGATTGCACCTGTAACACTTGGCTATGATAACTAATTTCCTTTCGGACCGTGCATTTTCCCGCAACCAGCAACTCCCAGCTTTTGTTATTTCACTCGAAGGGACATATGCCTCTCAGCGTACTAGGAGCCGCTGCCCCGGTGATCTCTCGTAAGCAAGTGCAGTCACGACCGCGCCTAGCACATAGAACGGCCGACGTCTTTCGAAATGGCCGGCCAAATCAATCTCGCGGACCTTACGCAGGCGCGCCTGGATAGGCTGACGCGACAACTGCACAAAAGCGCATTGAAGATTGCGACGTTGAAGGCAGCGCGAATCCCTCCAGCGCGCATCCAATCTTGCACCAACACATACACTAGCAACACAGACACAAGCAACACCGGCACTGGCAACAACAACACCGTCACAATATGAAAGCGTGTGGCAACGCTCGTCCGCTGCCAGTAATGGCGTCGCGCGTGAGGGAGCACGCGTCGACAGTGGTACGATACACGCCGGAACGACGACTGCGGTAACGGACCAACGTCGCGTCAACATTGCAACCAAACACAGCGAATCGACCCTTGCCGATGCCTCTCAAGCTGCAGCGTCCGCCGTGCTTTGACCCGGGTCAACGGGGTGGTCCGACGTTCAATTGTGGATTTTCACAATGAAAGTATTATTCGACGCTAATTACTTCATGTCAGACGCCGCGAAGATTCGATACGCCGTGTCGTTCTTGCGAGGACCCGCCATGGACTGGTGGCGTGTCATCGTCACAGCGCTGAGCGACTATGATCCGCTACTGCAAGGGGAGGGACCTTCCGGGCCCATGATCCCCAGGACACCGTCGTATTGCAACGTCACCTAGTATCATAGTGGGATGCGTTGTGCATGGGTCTACGTGGGAGATCCGAGCCAATCGCATCGTCGATTTCTGCAAGCCAGAAGCCGCGCACTTGGGGTCAACTCGGCTCCGTCTATGACTACACTAGCAGATTCCTGGCGCTACGAGCAAGTTGGGTATATGCATGAGGCGGAACGTGTAGACCGCTACGTCTGGGGACTGAAATCAGAAATCGCATAAGAAATATTGCTCCGTGGCGTCACGAATTTCAACGACATCCTCGCCATGGCGGAAATAATTGACTTCCTCCGCTGACCGAGAACGGGGTCCGATGGAAATTGGGGACACCGGACTCGAGGGACGAACGAGCACGCCACGAAACGCGCCGTTGCTGTGAATGCCACTTCCGCACCATTCAAAGGGCGCTGCTTTGCATGCAATCTGCCTGGGCACCGCAACAGCGAATGTTCGGAGGCTACCGGGAATAAGAAAGCCGCGCAACAGAATGGGTATAAGCAGAAAGGGTCTATGCAGCAGGGAAATGCTGGAAGTCAGTAGCAGATGGGCCCTCTTTTAGCTAGACTTGCCGCTCGCCTGACCCAACGACCCTTACCGAGTGACAGTACCGATTCATGTAGTCGATCACACTCGGCTTAACAGGGAGGGTACAGTGGTAGACAGTCTCATATTGCTTAGAGGGAAAATCCATACTGACTTAGCTAAAATATTTGTTGACGGGTTATTGTGAATGCTCGAAAACTGCAACCTCAAATAGACCAATGTTTACCTGAGATCGATGCAAGACTGGTCGACGGCATGCCACTGGCAACACGGGAACTCGTGGTCTGAGTTCGGATTCGACGTGGGGTAACTTCACATTCACCCTGGAAATGCTGGCCACGATACTCGACGGAACCAACATATTACTCGGCCGTGATTGGCTGTGACGATATAACCCACGGATAAACTGGACGACGTGCGACTGCAGCGTGCAAGTCAATGATAACAACATCGCCTTACCTCGCTGGAGCTCGCCTGAGTCTTCGTCAGTTCCAGCCAACGCCATCACGATGAAACGCGACGTATAGGCAGGAGCTGGCGTGTACGCTGTCGACGTCCGGGAAGCCGAGATAGCAGAGCAATCGACTAATTGACAGAAACTGCTCGCCGACGTACCCGAAGACTTGGCAGCACTTCTGAAGCAGTACCGGGAGATATTTCCCGATGACCTGCCACAGGGCTTGCCACCTCAGCGACTACACGACCACAGCATCAATTCGGAATCGGAGGCACCAGCCGACAGTACATCGACAGTTCCGAGTGACCCAAACCGAGCAGGACGAACCTTGGAAGCAGCTGGATTTTTTGCTCGAGAAAGAGTTCGTTCGCCCGAGGTTGTCACCATTCGCCACGCCAATACTACTCACGCCGAAGAAACATGGGGCTTTTAGCACTCGGGAAGCGAGACACACTAAGCCCATGGGCCACCAAGAAGGACCAAACCCTGGATCAGATTCGTGCGCGCTACGGGCTCCGCATCGAAGTAGATGGTACGCACATGTGGTGTTTGTGTAGATGGAAGATGTGCCTCATGCCTCGGCCGCAGTAACCATGTTGTGTCTGTTTTCGCATATCCCTTAACCCTGCCCAAGTGGAGCAACGATCGTACTGGTATGCCATTTGCGTCTGGCGCTTTCGTGGCCTGCTCGGTGTCAGAACATTATAGCTTATGCTGTTGTGTAGGCTATAGTGGGGTATCCCATAGGGGGTACAACCAATTAGGGTTTCATATTTGTACTCACTTCATTTCATAGTTCACCCATTCTTGTTCAAATCTTCTCATGGTATCGAGCAGGTTCCCCCTTGGGAACTGTGCTTAGGGCCCACCACATCGATTTTTTTTTTTTTCCTGCCCGAAGCGCGCTCAGCCCGAGTCGCGCTCCGGGCCCTCACTTCGTCGAGCCGCCCTAGCGGCCCTGCACTGCGGCCCCGCCACCCGTCTCCGCGGCCCCGCCGCCCGTCTTCGCGGCCCCGCCGCCTCTCTCCTAGCGGCCCCGCCGCCCTACCTAGCGGCCCCGCCGCCCTACCTTGCGGCCTCGCCGCCCCATTGCGCGGCCCCGCCGCCCTACCTAGCGGCCCCGCCGCCCCATCGCGGCCCCGCCGCCCCATCGCGCGGCCCCGCCGCCCTACCTAGCGGCCCCGCCGCCCTACCTAGCGGCCCCGCCGCCCCATCGCGCGGCCCTGCCGCCCCATCGCGCGGCCCCGCCGCCCCATCGCGCGGCCCCGCCGCCCTTCCTCGCGGCCCCGCCGCCCCATCGCGCGGCCCCGCCGCCCTACCTGCGGCCCCGCCACCTTACCTGCGGCCCCGCCCTTACCTGCGGCCCCGCCGCCCTCTGCTGCGGCCCCGCCACCTTACCTGCGGCCCCGCCACCTTACCTGCGGCCCCGCCACCTTACCTGCGGCCCCGCCGCCCTCGGCTGCGGCCCCGCCACCCTATCTGCGGCCCCGCCACCCTACCCGCGGCCACGCCGCCCTTACCAGCGGCCCCGCCGCCCTTACCTGCGGCCCCGTCACCTGCTGCCCAGCCGTGCCGCCCTGCAGCAGCACAGCCGAGCCGCCCAGCAGCCGAGCCGCCGAGCCGCCCAGCAGCCGAGCCGCCCAGCAGCCGAGCCGCCGAGCCGCCCAGCAGCCGGGCTGCCCAGCAGCCGAGCCGCCCTGCAGCCGAGCCGCCCAACGGCCGCGCTGCCCAGCAGCCGAGCCGCCCAGCAGCCGAGCCGCCCAGCAGCGGAGCCGCCGAGCCGCCGGGCCGCCCAGCAGCTGAGCCGCCGAGCCGCCGCGCCGCCCTCCTTCAGGGCCGCCCGACCTGCCCAGTCTGGTGAGCACAGCGCCTTTTCACTGCAC